TGCACACATATTTTGTGGTCTGGGGGACTTGAGCCGGTGACCCTCCGGTTCCCAAGCCAAGTCCCTACACACTGAGCTACTGCCGCCCCATTATTTATTATAAGGAATAAGGTATTCCTGAGAATTAAGTACGAGACTGTCAAAATAATAATTTAAAATATTGGCCAGGAAGAAGCCCTGAAAGCACGTCTACTCCATGTGCTGCTCACTAGCGGCCGCCATATAGACAACATATTAAGTGTCCCACCAGGGACATTAACACTCTGGACCACTGCTACAACACAATAAAGGATGGCTCTGTTCCCTGTGCAGCCTTGGGACTCTCTGATCACTTTCTGGTTCATCTTATCCCTACATACCGGCAGAAACTTAAATCTGCTAAATCTGTAGTCAAGGCCATGAAAAGATGGACCAATGAGTCAAAGCTGGAACTACAGGTATGCTTTGACTGCACTGATTGGAATGTTTGAGGCTGCAGCTACAGACCTGGATGGGCTCACTGACACTGTGACATCATACATCAGTTTTTGTGAGGACGTGTGTGTGCCAACCTTCTGTACATAGAACAACCACAAACCCTGGTTTACAGCAAAGCTCAAGCAGCTTCATCAGACCAAGAATAAGCAGGCCAGAAACACGCTAACAAAGGAATTCAAAGCGGCAAAGAGGAGATACTCCAAAAAGCTGTAAAACTGCTTTTCAGCCAACTATCCTGTGTCAGTGTGAGGAGACCTGCAGAACATCACCAACTACAGGAGACCATCCCCCCACACTGTGGAGAACTATCAACTGGCTGATGAGCTGAATGTGTTTTACTGTAGATTTGGAAAACCCACATTCACACCCCTCCCCTACCTCCAACATCACAGCCCACCCCTACCAACAGCTACCTACACCCTCTGACCCCCACCTGCACTCAGGATCTGTGAAGAGGATGTGTGTCAGCTCTCTCAGAGACAGAAGATCAGGAAAGCATCATCAACAGATCACTGGAGTTGTGTGAAGTTTCTTCCTGCTTCAAACGCTTTACCATCATTCCGGTTCCCAAAAAACTGACTCACAGATTTCACTGCCCTGAGAATGAACTAGTTTTGAGCCAAGATTAGTGTGAGTCTGTGTATGAACTGCATAATGACTGGAGAACAAGAACAACCTTTGTTTAAAATCTCTATGAGTATGAGTATGGACTTCCTAAAAAATGAATGCTCCCAAAGAATGTTGCTATGACAATGGGGTATAGCTCATGGAGCATAGAGAGAGGGACTCCCTCAGTAGTAGCCACCAAAACTTACAGAAGAAGTATAAAGTTTAATGTCCTTGGGTTGCGTGATGATGTCATCATAGAAGTAGATGCCATTCCAAGAGGAAAGGAAATGTTGCCACAGACACATTTCCATTTTGCATGCATCGTCTAAAACAACTCAGTCAGGGAACAGCTGGAGCTTTAGTTAAGAGGCTTAGCCTGGTGAGAAAGCCAGATCCGCGGAATTCTTAATGGTTGTAGTTACCGAAGTGTTGATGGAGGCAACCATGGAACAGGAAAACATTTCCCTTTTCCTGTTTTAACCCCTCGCTGATGGGGAGGGGAGGCCTGAGATCTACCAGGAGTCGCAGAGATCTCATTAAGGGAGCTTGAAGTTTGAGTGGAGATGCTGGTGAGGTGTTGTTACATTGACCACTGAGTGTGTGTATGTCAAGTGTCTCAAGTGTTTGTCAATGTAGCTTCCTCCACTGCTGCTGTCGCATGGTGGTACCTGGCTGCTGTAGACCCCTGCTGTTTCTCTTTCTGCTTAAGTTATGTACTGTTACACAAGCATGGTTAAACTTCTAAATATATTTTAGACAGACGTCCTTGTGTGCTGTGCACTGCTGTATCAGTGTGTTTGCTGAGAAGGCTCGGGAAGTGTGCAAACGTTTTAGAATTTTGTAAAACAGCCAAGGTATCCCTTGTTAGCTCTGTATGCATATGTGAGTTACCGTGACTAATAATGTGTCTCTGTCCCTGCAGAGACTGCTACTGCTGCTTTGCTAAAGTTTGAAGTTTGCTTAATTTTAATATTTGACTTTGGTTTGGGTTTTGTTATATTGTTTTATTGCACTTTTGCCTTTTGTATTTAATTACTAGGTGATAGTTTTAGGTTGCCATTTTATTATACTGTACTATCATAATACAGGATTAGTGAAGTACAACAAGTGGCTTGTTTTACTCTTATTTGCATGTCTTGATTTTGAGTGCATTTTATTTGGGTTTTGATTTTACTTTATATATTTATTTCTGTAAATATATTTTTATTTCTGCCACGTCTCTGAGTTTTCCTGTGGACTTGCCTGCATTGGTGGGAATCCCTGGTATTGTAGAAACCAAAAATAACTTAGTAGTGAGTCAATCTTGGAAGTCTCAAGGTGGCATTGTCAGTCAAATCATTTATAATAACATTTGTTGGCCGACTCCTCTATTGGACATAAAAATGAAAATTCAATTGAAGAAGTACGTTGTAGTGATCACTTGGGTGAAAAATGATTTGTATATTAATATTTATCACAGATAATAACATTTTGAAAATAATTATACTTTTAGCCAAAAATGTATGCTTCATGATTGGACATATGATTAAATATGCTGTATAAAGTTTAAAGTGTAAGAGGTCTATCAGTTGTCAGAAATAAATATAAAATGATAATTAGAGCAAAAATACTGCTTTTTGCTCGAATTATTATTTAATATTGTTCAGAGCTCTCCATTTTAACAACGTGTTACTCTGACTGAAGCAGCACACAATTAATATTGAGCAGAAAGAAAGTCAAAAGATTGGTCACAGGCCCCTTTAATGTAAAGGCACTCAGAGTCTGATGACGAAAACCTGGTTATTAGAGACAGTTGATAACCACTATTGTAATACTGATACCGATACTGATAGTAATTATAATCCGGGCTCTGTTCATAGTACAACAACAACCTGACAAGCACCCAACAACAAAAATAACAAGCTGATGTTTTGTGTATCACTTTGAAAGCTTTAATTAGATTTAGTTGTATAAACCTGTTATGAGATGGTTCTTACTTGTGTTTGTAAACAAATGTGACCTACCAGGGTCAGCTGATTGATGATGTCATGAAACATGGTGTCATCAACAGTCTGGGAGGAATCAGAGTCAGGACTGATGGAAAGGTTTTCCACACTGCAGATAAACACTGGTTTTAATGGGAAACATCTTAGTTTGACTCGGTTTCAGTTACACCTGGAAGAAACTATCACTCAGAAGTCTATTTTCAGTATTTTGTGCACTGGTGTCTTTGCATAGTCTCAATGTTTTGTCATGTTTTGATCATTTGATTTGCTGAAGGCATATATACACAAACCTCTCTGAAGTCACACAGACATCTTTATTTAATTGTTCTATTTGTTTTCCTTTCATTTTTTCTTGTTATGTAAAAAAAAAAGACTGTCAACCAGAGCAGGTGTCTGCCTGCACTGACAGTATAATCTGGTTAAGTTAAAGGGAAACTTGGCAACTCTAGCCATTTCTTAGCTGGTTTTCACTTTTGTCAT